TTCCCCTGTGAACACCTGCCCCTCTGGATTTCCTCAGGGTCCTGGGCATTTCAACCTTTCTCTGATATACTCTGGTCACCAGTTTCCTTGCCTGCGTCCTTTCGTAGACATCAAGGTCAGGAGACATGATGTGAATTCAGGCTCTGTGTCCTCTGTGATTTGTATTATCCATATACTAGACATCTATTTTTCTCATGACCACAGTGAGTAGAGATCAAGACTCTAACACAGTCCTAACCCTGAGGTTCTCAGTTTGGGTAAACAGTGTCCAAAGAGACCACTAGCCATCCTGAGATGGAGCAGGATTAAAATAGAAAATATCAAAGAAATAAGACACATGGAGGGACAAAAACAGGAAAGAGGAAAATTAGAAAGAATAAAAAGTAAAAACACTGATTCAAGTGGATAGGTTGGGTCCTTAGCAAGGGAAGATGAGAAGTGATAGGAAGTGATAGATATTGTACAATGTTCCACATGCCATGTCTGTCTCCATCCCACCAAGCACCATATCAGAGTATCTAACAGGAAGCCTCACCTGACTGAAGGCTGGGTGATCAACATCCCAGTCCTCGGCATGGCAGGAGAATTAGAATAGAATATAAAAAGACAAGAGCCAGGCAAAGTGGTACAAACTTGTAATCCCAGCAGCTTGGGAGGCCGAGGCAGGAGGATTGCAAATTCAGAGCCAGCCTCAGCAACTTAGTGAGGCCATAAGCAGCTTAGGAAGACCCTGTCCAAAAAAAAAAAAAAAAAAGGCTGAAGATGTGACTCAATGGTTAAACACTCAAGGTTCAATGCCTGGTACCCAAAACAAAAAGATGGGCTGGGCACAGTGGTGTACACACTTCTGAGAGGCAAGAAGATCACATATTCAAGGCCAGCCTCAGTAACTCAGCAAGACCCTGTACCAAAATATCATAAAAAGGGCTGCAGCTCAGTGTGCTAGGGCCTGGGTTCAATCCCTAGTACTGAAAGGAAAGAAGAACAAAAAAGAAAAGAAGGAAAGACATTGGAGAAAAGTTGATCATTGATCATTTAATCAAGCGTCAATCCTCAAATGTTTATCGTATTTCTTAAGCAATAATACTCTTATTTATGATACTCATGAATGCCAATTAAATATTAAAGCAAGTAATTCTTTGCTAACTCAAAAGAAACCCTGATTTAACTTATTTATATCTTTCTTGGAGTTTTATTAATGGTAGTAAATCATCCAGTGATCTATTACATTACAATGACAGTTGACATTTACAGGGTGTCAGTGAGGATCTATTTATACACAAATTAATTACTGAACACCTAAAGGCGTTCAGCTGATCCTGAGTAGGAGGGACAGGACAGTCCCCTTCCCACCACTGACTTGACACTCCTTGGTTCTAATTCACACCAGAGACCTCAAAGCCAGCTTACAACACACCACTTACAAGTAAGATCAGAACTGACCCCGGAGCGGCTGAATAACTTACTCAAGTCCTGGTGGCTAAGATGTGACCGCCCAGCTCTGGCCTCTGTTGCTGAAGCTGCAGAAGTTAGAAGTTCACAATGTAAACGAAGTTTATTAATGGAAAATATTAGGAAGTTAATATCCTGAAAAGTCCTAAAGACGACAGTCCTATTTTCCCTGTTTAATTACCCACCTCCTGTCCTAGTGACTTGAAACCACAGCCAAGAGAACCAAGGGTGACTGCGACTGTCATAAGGGAGCAAGCCTTCACCGTCACCAAGTCTTAGGGTGAGGAGTAACTGGATCAATCACAGCCCTTCCCTTTTGCCCGCCCTAATTCTAAAATCAGCCAATCACGGAGGTCATAATCCAGAACTCCTCCAATCAGAGTGAAGGGCAGCTCTGCCTCGGTTCCATATCTAAGCAGGTGCCTGCTAACCCATGCGCAGCGCGCCCTTCTGCTAGCAGTAGAGGTTGGCGGGGGGCCATCCACTTTCAAGCATCTATTTGATTCTTGGGGGCCACCTGGTTATTTCTAACCATAGGAAAGAGACATTTGAAATTGGGCTCTCACAGTTGTGACACTAAAACCATGCCTTTGCATGTTAATGACAGCACATCAGAGGGCAGAGGTAGACTTCACGACATGCTAAATGCCTGGTGGCTGCAGGTGCTCTGCCACACCTACAGCCATCCACTGTATCTGCAGATCCCGCATCTGCAGTCCAACAACCGCAGACCAAAAGCATTGCTTGTAAGTGTGCCTGGCCTGGACATGCACGGACCTTTTTCACCTCCTTGGTCCCTAAACAATACAATATAACAACTATTCACATAATATTTGCACTGCATGAGGGATAAGTAATTTAGAGTTGACTTAAAATATATGGGAGGATACATGTCCGTTCTGTGCAATACTGTACCCTTTTATGTAAAGGGACTTGAGCATCCGCAGATTTTGGCATCCAAAGGGCATCCTGGATACCAGGGGATGATGAGGAGTATGAGCGTCTTTTGCTGCAGATTCAAACAATTGTCCTGTACAGCACTAGTCAAGAATATTTGTCGGCTGAGTGTGGCAGTGTACATCTGTAATCCCAGTGGCTCAGGAAGCAGAGGCAGGAGGATCAGAGTACAAAGCCAGCCTGGGCAACTTAGCAAGGCCCTAAGAAATTTAGTAAGTCCCTGTCTCAAAATAAAAAATAAAAAAGGGCTGGGGATGTGGCTCAGCGGTTAAGCACCTCTCAGTACCAAAACCAAAACAAAACTGGTCATCATGAAGGGATTCTGTAGCAAACTGCACCGTGGTAGTGAGCTTCCAGAAACCCAAAGAGAAGAAATAGCTCTCAGAAAAAGGAGCCCTTAGGACAGAGAAAGCCCAGGGGCCTCTTGTTTCTATTCATCCACTACAATGACCAAGATAAGCGTTTGAATGTCATGTTTATAAACAAGAAGCTTCTGGCCCAACAGCATCAAGCTTAAGCCCAGTTCACCATTTTTTCCTCAAGGAAGAGTGGCATCTGTATTTTCTGTGTTGGAGGAGTCACAGAGTATTTTTATGTCAGAAATAACCTGGGATTGAGGTTGGGTAAGGAAACCAGGAATCTGCACCATGCTGTTCTGGTTGAATAGCACTCACAAAAGTCACTTGAGATAAAAGCCTGAGAGTCAGGAGTGTTTAAATCAGCTAACAGGCTGTGGCTTGGTGAGAACCACGGAGTGATTCTGACTGTCGAAGCAAATGTCCTGGGAAGATCAGAACCATGGACTTCAGGGCTGAAGTGAGGTGAGAGAACACAAGAGAATCCTGGGGGCTCAGGAATCCCTAACTCAGATGAAGCCGTGTCCTGGTCTCTCCTGCGACCTGAACAGACTGGGTTCAAAAGAGCTGGCTGCTACATTAAGCTGAAAAAATGGAGAAAAGCACAAGACACAGAAGTAATGTTCATATCAAGGGTAGGACGGCTCCAGCCTGGGTCTTTCTGCTAATATGCTGTGTAAGAACAACTTAGAGAAGGGACAGTTGGCTTTGGCTCACAGGGTCAGAGGTCTCAGTCCAAGGTTGGCTGACCATTGCTCTGGGCCAAGGTGAGACAGAAGAGCGTGGTGGAAGGGCGTGGCCAAGGGAAGCAGCTCAGAACACGAACTCGGCTACCAGGAAGCACTGGGATGGGGAGGAGGAGGAGTACATAGCCCATGGCCACACCTCAGTGATCTACTTCCTCTAACTACTTCTACCTCCCAGGAGTCCATGTGGCTATCAATGGATTAATCCATTTACTGGATAGATGGACTGATTCTCTGGTGAGGTCAGAGCCCTAGTCCTTGCTCAGAGCCCCACCTCTGATCCTTGCTGCCTTGAGCACCAGGCTTCTAACCCATGAATTTTTAGGGACATTCCAGACCCACCCAAACCACAGCATATGTTCTGTCTCACAACACCCCACATCTTGATGATATCTGTTGCAGGATCTTTAACTCAAGAGGAAAAATACGCATAGAGAGTTTAAAAGGATGAATCATTCTTCAGCCTTCCTCTCCTGAAGAATTGACCATTTTATCATTTGGTTGCTACCAGTCCTGATTACAACCAGTGGGAGGTAAAAAGTGAAGTTGGAAACTCACTATAGCTTCATATTTTATGCTTTACAGCTGCCAAAAAGAAAAAGAAGAGAGAAGAAAAAGAAATAAGAAAAATAAAGAACCATAAGAAAAAAAGAAAGAAAAAGAGAAAAAAAAAAAGCTGAATTCAGGCTCTCAGAATGATTTGTCTCTATTTTAATCTTGAGATTTGGGCCATGGTTTTTCTCTTTAAATACACAGGCACACAAACACACACAAAATATTCCTGGAAAAGTGGCAGTGTTTTTTACAGATCATCTGTTTATTTGTTAAAGTGTTTAACTCGATATGCCTTTCTTTGTTTGTCTTCCAGATGGAAAGACATCTACTCAGAGATGACTTGGAACAAGGTGGTGGTTATATCATTTTAAGAAAAGGGAAGAATACAACAGACACTAGTATGGCAGTATGTAAAAACATGGATGTGTAACCGATGTGATTCTGCAATCTGTATACGGGGTAAAAATGGGAGTTCATAATCCACTTGAATCAAATGTATGAAATATGATATGTCAAGAGCTTTGTAATGTTTTGGACAACTAATAATAATAATTAAAAAAACAGAAAAGGGAAAGTGATGACCATGAGATTGCTACACAGGAAACCGGACAGACCTCTGCCGTATGGAGGCTGGCTCTGTTCCAAGGTTTCTAAACTTGATGTTGCTAGTTGAAGTGCAGCAGTTTGACTCATAAAGTTTGAGCCCTGCTTTGATTAGTTGATGTTAGGCAACTGCTAGTGGGATGTGGAAGGTGGTGGGGGGGGACGGAGGCCGAGGAGTTCTGAGGGGATGGTGGGACGTCATGGTGGAAGAGTGTGGTGTCCTGCTAAGTTCATGGCAGCCAGGAAGGGCGGGGGGGGGGGGGGGGGGGGGGGGAGAGGCAGTTCATGGCAGCCAGGAAGCAGGGGTTTGGGGGTGAGCTGGGGAGGGGGCGCACATCTATGAAATGAGCTGCTTCAATCCTACACAAAGTTAATCCTTTTGGAAAAAACAGAAACTTCTCCAAAATTTATGCTGAGATAATGCGCCAAGGTCAAAGTGTCCTCATGTTAAATAAAAGAGGTGAATGTTGGACACTTGACTCCTGGGACACCAGCATTAATGCCCACACTTAAAATATACATTGTTGTGAGGATTTAGAATAAAGAGAAAGAAAAAAAAAAAAACCTCGAGCATTTTGTGTAATTCGATAGCATATTCCTATTCGTGGATATGGTTTCAATATAAAAATTGTGGGGGAAAAAAAACTTGAGAGAAGTCTACTCCCACCCCTGGTCCTCCCTTCCTGTTCTCAGCCAGCCTTTGTTGTGTACTGGTGGACTGTGGTCAGGATGGGTTGTGTGGCATCGGGGGAGTATGCAGTGCTGCCAGCTACTGGCATAGGCCTCTCTGTGCAGGGGGCACAGCGCAAACACCCCCTAGATAAAGGTGGGCATGACGGCTTTCCCACAGCCTGCTCAGTAGAGTGTGTCAATCTCTCAGATGAATCCCTGCCAACGCCTTTCCCTCTTAAAGGCACAAATGAATGTGGCTGTCATTTGCATGCAGGAACCATGACTTAGTTGTCACTGCATCCAGGAGCTGTTGAAGTGACCTAATTTCAAGTCATTTTTAATTCAGAGATGATCTCTAACTAGGGGAAATGCCATCATCGCTCCTTTCCCCGGCCACTTCGCCTTTACGTGAAAGCAATGTTTGGACGTTTCTTCGCCTACTGGCTTTATGAAGAAAAAGTTAATCTACCAACCTGCTGGGTTCAGCTTCCTAAACCTTGCTTATGCAAGGCTGCTTGATCACCTCTCTCCTTCTCTGTCTCATGCACACACATGTATGCACACAGGTACATGCTTATGTGGACTTTTATGTGATTTAATCAACATCTAATCATTCTTAGTGTTTTGTTTGCAAGTAAACAAAATTCTTTATGTACACAGACTCGTCGGAGGCCAGAATATTTTCTACTGGCAAGTCATCGTCTTATATACAGAGATTTCATCATTCCATTTATCAAAAAAACTCAGGCTTCTAGCATTTTCCTTTTTGTTTAGGAACTATGCTCTGAGCACTTGTCAGAAATAGTGGATCAAAGTCAGAGGTAGGTTTTCCACCCCAGGTGTGGCGCATCCAGCACGTTCTCAGGTACGCCTCCAGTGGCCACACTGTCATGGCGGCTCTGCCTTCCAACATGGCTCCCTCCACTGCCCTGCCAACAAGATCTCTCTGGGAATGCAAATGTTTTTTTTCTTTGTATGTATGAAAATGCTGGGAGCCATTAGCCAAGTAGGTGTGAAAATTTCCTTGCCAGCGTACCCCATGTTGCAGTGACATTGAATGTAGGTGACCTTGCTCAAGGACCAGGGCGGATTAGGGTGTTCCCGGTTTAGGATAATCGGGTTTAGGGCGTTCCAGGTTTAAGATTATTCCTGCTGGGAATAGGGCGTATCCTGCTGCCTGAGTTCCCCTTGAGTTCTCACGGGATTCAGACAGTATTTTTTGGGAGACAGAAGCCCAGTGGTGGTGGATTTGGGCAGAGAACGTGGATTTCCCCAGAACGTGTTTGTAGACGGCTGGTGTGAGTTCGGGAATAAAGAGTTGCTGTTTGAATCTACAAGCTGTGTGGTGGCTCGTGATTGTGTGCCCAGCCAGACTGTGGCATGAAAAGGGCAAGTGCTCCTAGCAGCAGCCACATACATGGAAAATTATACATTTGACCTGCTGAAACATCTCTATCAGGTAAGAAAATGTCAGGTAATTAGAAATACTGGGAGAGCTCATGAAATTTTATATGTCTACCTGATGCAATTTCCTTTGAAAACTAATGCTTGAATTTGAAAGTGTGTTAAAAATCAAAGCCTGCCTTTCTCTTTCCGGGCATGCCTCATGCTGAGCACTGCCACTTATCTTTCAAATTTTAAACACTTTGGAGCTTTTCAAATGAACAAACTTTTATTTATCAATAACTTCATTATTTTTAGTCTATACTAGTGAAATGATTCACTTTAACCCCAAAGCTATTCCCTGTCTGAGGGTAGATGACGGCTGGCGGTGACAGATGACTGAATCCCACATCTGGAGATCCTGCCACCTGTAAACACAGCCTTTGATCAGCAGGGCCTCTGCTAGATCTGGTTCCACCTCCTGCAGTGATGACATCTCTAAACCCACATCTAGAATTATTTGGCACTTTAGATCCACATAGTCTCATACAACAATCCGCATCCTAAAAGAAAATGTGACAATTTTCCTTCCAAGAATAATGGCATGCAAATAAACTACAGAAAGTTTTAAATGAGAAGACTTTAGAGACCGGTAAGAGGGTGAATGGGATGATCAAGCTGGAATTTTAAAAACCAGTGGACTGTTCTGTGATGCAGATGTCTTGTGTCCACGGATCATGATGTCCTATGATGGAAAAAACAGAACTGGCTATAAAATGAAATTATAAGAAAATAACAATGAAGAACCAAACCCTGGGGAGAGGGTTAACTCCCCTCCTCTGCTGTCAGCCGGATTCACCAAGGTTGGATTGTAAGTAGCCTCTCGAGGAGACTGACTACTCCCTGTTGAAATGTAAACACTCTGTGCCAGGCTCTTAAGGCCAGAGATGCAACAGATACCTGTGAAAAGAGTCCTTTCTTCTTAGACTTTGTAACTTTCTGAATCTGTAGGAATGTAGCTGCATCACTTAGTTGCTAGGCCAATTAACTGCTATCTGAACCATAACTTCCTAGGCTATAGTTCTTAGAACTACAGCTCGTAGGGAGGTAAACTCAAGTCACCTTGAGTCACTGGTGCCTGTGGTGAAGGCCACTTCCTGGTGACACTGCAAGTGTGAGCTACTTATCATGAAATTCCTGTACATGGTCCTTGGTTCTGTAGGCCAAGAATTCACCCCCCCTCACCCGATGTTGTTAAGAGAAATGATGTCAAATATACTGCAAAAGCTCCATGTGACCTCAGCTCTGGGGCCCAGAACTTCAGAGCACTAGCTCCCTTGGGTCAGGGTTAGCAGAGCCTGGTCTCTTGCTGAGCACGATTTCCATAACATTTACAGCCTTCAACTCAAGAGGAGCCAAGAAAACAACTCCGACAGTTTCAGAATCTACCTAAGACATAGAGAGATTAGGTATTTGGCCAAATCTTCCATAACTGTATTGCTTTCCCCCATGGCCTGATTGCTCAGAATACAAAGCTAAATTGTCAATAATTCAATAATTTGAAGCTCGTTTTTTTTCCATGCTACACGACATGCACTTTTGCCTGTATGTATTAAGCTTTCCTTTCAGGATTCCGTGAGCACTTACTGTCATGCTTGTGAATCATCTGTGTGTGACAGTCATCGCACACAGCCCGTAGTGAAGGCAGCCACGGGTAAAACTAATATTCTCCATTGAATTATGTCCTGGGGGGTGTGAGACAATGGGCATCTCCTGAACATGTTGCAGAAACACCTGGCGGACTTGTTAACCCTAGGGCTGAGTTTCTCACTCAGTAGGCCTCAGGGAGAGCTTGAGAATCTGCATTGGTAACAGATTCCCAGCAGATGCAGACGCAAAGAGTTCAGGGACCACACTTTGAAAAGCCAAGGCATAGGAATAAGGCTTGGTGGCTGCCATTGATGCTACGAGAGATAAAACCAGGCGGTAACAAAGAAAGTGTTCATCTCCACACATGGGCTGACAGTTTTGCAAACTTACTGAGGGGTTCATGCTGGCTCTTTCACCCCCTAGGCCTAAATTATATGGAAAATATAAAGGCCATGTCTAACAATGGATTGATTAGCTGATCAATGAACTAACTTATGAGCCTTTCATTGACTTTAAAAAATCATAATTGTGATGAGTCCTGTTCAACACAATGTGAACAAAAGTTTGGAACAATAAATGTTTCACATATTTACCATGTAAAGTGACACTGAATGCCCACTCTTGATGAGCTAGGGGCATCACCTGGAGTCATCCTGACAGTCATCCTCATTCAGAGTGTGAGGGACCAGATGGTGGGTCATTTCTAAAACTAGGGTGGATAATGGGACCTTGTGGAGTGGGATGTAAGCTCCTCAGTTAGAAATTACCTTGATTATTTCCCCCAGAGTATGCCAGACAAGTAGGTTGGTTTAATTAATTAATTAATTAATTTAGGTACCAGCTATTGAACCCAGGGCCACTTAACCACTAGCCATATACCCAGCCCTTTTTAAATTTTATTTAGAGACAGAATCTGTCTCTAAATAAAATTTAAAAGTTGCTTAGCACCTTGCTACACTGGCTTTGAACTCATGATCCCCCTGCCTCATCCTCCAGAGCCGCTGGGATTACAGGAGACATGTAGGTTTATTCAATGAAAATCAGAGGCACAGATCACCAGAGACAAAGACTTGTAATGAATGTGTAGGGGCTGATGATAGTGTCCCAAGCCACTGTGTCCCCACAGTGCTTCAGGATGTGTGGAGCCCATCATTGCTTCTGTGGATCAACCCCATCAAACAACTTGTGCAATTTCACAGATATATCATGTACTGAATGTCGACATCAGCAAGTCATTATTATGTGCATTCAGTTGTATTTCCAGGCTTTATTGAGGTTGCATTATCCTCTCCCTCAAAGAGCAAGATGTGGCCAACTCTATCCTTTCAAACACAGGCACACCACATCATTCTCCTCAAAGTCCCAGCCCATCCAGGAAATACTCCTAGATACATCTCAAGGACAAAGATGTCCTCATCTTGTCTCCCAGAGATTCAAACTTTGGCTAAGTGCAGTCTGAACACGTTACCATGCTACATAGTAAAAAACAAAATAGTCTTGTGCCATGGCACACACCTGTAATTCCAGTGGCTAGGGAGGCTGCTGAGACAGGAGGATCACGATTTCAAAGGCAGCCTTAGCAATGCTGAGGTGCTAAGCAACTCAGTGAGACCTTGTCATTAAATAATATACAGAATAGGGCTGGGGATGTGGCTCAGTGGTGGAGTACCTCTAAATTCAATCCCTGATACTGCCCCAATAAAACAAAAACAAACAGATGCTTCCTAAGATTTGACTTTGTAAATATTTCATTCCTCCTTGGAAAAGCAAGCTAGATAATCCATGCAACGTGTTGATTGCAATACTTCTTGGTTCACGGTAGGCAGTCAAGAAAGCATAGCTATCATGACTTTAGTCAGATTTGAGTATCCCAAGGCATAGATCAGCACTCCATACTTCTGATCAAGTACCTGGAAGGCAGTGAGTGCCTAGCTGGGAGTGTTAATTATTTATTTTCCCGTGTACAACCTACCAGGGGTTGTCAACCTGATTCCTATCCTAATTGGACTAAAAAAACAATTTTTTTCTACCATTTTCCATTGGTGATTCTCTCAGGGTTGAAAAGGAGAGCTAACTATTCCCCATCCTGTTATTGCATCACCACACTGACACTGTGTAATTCCTCTAGCTTAATGTATAGATCCCCCATGAAATCTTAATCCAGCTTTAGGAGCAGGGTTGAGTCTATGCAGAATGATCAAGAAGCAGATGGAATTCACTTTCACTCCCCTCTCCTACCCCCAGGACTCAGCCCTCTCTCTCCTCCCAACTCTTCCATTTGTTCTGAACTCTCAATGTCTTTTTCCTCTATTCATTTCCATCCCATCCATTCCATAACTATTGATTGGGAGTCTCCACGGCATTACCCAGGGCGCTCTGCTAGACACTGCAATTAAAAAATAAACAAGGCTCCATCCATCCTCCCAGTTAAAGGCTTTCTTTAAGCAGTTATGAAGATATCACAGGCAGGGACAGTAGCATTTTTGTGGACCCCCACCCCCATAGCACAGTAGTGACAGGAATTCAGCTCAGCGAGTTAAATGCTGTTAACAATATCCTCTTTTGTATCTTATTTTGACTCATTGTTCAGAAAAATATGTTTTATGAACTATGTAATAAAAACGTCCTGAGAGCCTGCCTTGTTAGCAAATTCTCTGAAAAGCTCTTCCTATGCATTTACTAAATTAGTCTGTTTTCTGCCGTCCTTTGTTCCCATCGAATATATTTTAAGAACTCCTTCCTCCTGAAATTACCATAATTAAGTTTAAGCTTACTGTATTATCTTTTCACATGTTGTGCATAAGTGTGCACAATTGTCTACTGTATTCATGGCTACTTTTTTTTTTTTGGTCTTGATTTGTTTTTCTCTCCTCAGAGTTATATTGCTAGAACAGGAGTCAGGAGCCAGGAGCAAGGGTTCTGCTGAGATTGCTGTCCTCAGGAAGAGAGCTTCTTAGCACTTGGGTCTCTATGTTGCAATTTTAATCATACAGTACAATGTTGCTAGCCACAGACAATTGGATCCCCATTGTTAGAGTCTGTAAACAAGTCAAAATAACACCTGGCATCTTGCCAGAGGAATGTTAGAGTTCATAAACATGTCTGGATGGTGCCTGGCAAAATGCCAGAGGGAGTGGTTTGAGAAGTAACAAAAGCGAGCCATTAAGTGTGGAGATTCCTTATTGGTTGACTGATGTATCTAGTTTATGCTAATTAGATAAGCTGTGTGGAATGTATAGATACTGCTCCTGTCCTGCAATAAACGGCTTCCACTCCTGCTGTATCAATCTACACAAGTTGTTCGTCACCCCCCCGGTTATTTTGCTGCAGCCGGACTGCGGCACCCCATAACTGATTCATCTTGCAGAACTGAAATGTTGTATCTTTCTGCCCTCATCTGCTGGGTTTTCCCTTCTTCCAGCCCCTAGTGACCACCATCCCGTTTCTGTGTGACTCTTTTAGATTCCAACTAGGTGAGGTCATGTAGCATTTGTATTTCTGTGTCTGGCTTATTTCTCTTGGCACGATGCTCGCCAGCTCCATCCAGGTTGCTGGAAATGGCAGGGTTTTCTACTTTTTTAAGGCTGGATAATTTCATATTGTATGTGCATACCATGATTTCTTATCCAGGCATCTGTTTTAATAAACATTTATCTTGTTTGTTTGTCTTGACTTGTGAATAATGCCGCAATAAACATGGGGATGCAGATAACACATCAGGATTCTGATTTCTATTCTTTGGGGTATGTAGACCGAAAAGAGGCATTGTTGGATATTCTGGTTCTACTTTGAGTTTTTTTGTTTTTTTTTTTTTAATTGAAGCATCCAGGGGTGCTCAACCACTGAACCACATCCCCAGCCATTTTTCTCTTTTATTTTGAGATGGGGTCTCACTAAATTTCTTAGAGCCTTGTTAAATTACTGAGGCTGGCCTTAAACCTGGGATCCTCTTGTCCCAGCCTCCCAAGCCACTGGGATTATAGGAGTGCACCACCACACCTGGTTCACACTGTTTTCCATAAAAGAGGTATCAGTTTACATTGCAACCATCAGTGTATAAAGCTTCTTTTTTCCCTCACACCCTCACCAACATTTAGTACACTTTCAATAACAGACATCCTGAGAAGCATGTGTGATATGTCATTGTGGTTTTGATTTTCATTTCCTGATGGTCAGTGATGTTGACCAATTTTTTATATGCCTGTTGTTCCTCTGTATGTCTTCTTTTGAGAAACATGTATTTGGGTCCCTTGTTCATTTTTAAAGAGGCTATTTCTTCTGTGGCTCTTCCTTCTATGTTTTGAATGTTAACTCCTTATTGAAATTGGGCCCTCATCTTATGCCATACTCAAAAATCAACTCAAAATGCATTAAAACCTATATATAAGACCCGAAATCATAGAACTCCTAGAAGAAAAGCTCAGGACAAAGCTCCAAAGGACAATGATGTTTTGGATGTGATACTGAAAAGCAAAAGAAATAAAAAACATATATATATAAGCAAGTGGGAGAATATGGCAATAAAAAACCTCTGCACAGCAAAGGAAGCAACCAATAAAATCAAAAGGCAACCTATGGAATGGGAGAGGACATCAGCAGAGATATTGTGGATGGGCAGAATCTATTGAGCTACATAGTAAAGGCTTGGAGCCGCAGTGAATTTAATACTGTACCTATGGAACAGGTCCACAGCAGTCTTTCAAAACTGCAGATTAACAGTATTTAAAAAAAAACCAAAGAAAATCAGTTGACTACAAAGGTGGCAAAGAAACCCATGAAAATACAAACCTACCCAATAACTTTATCTTCTAAATATGATGGGAAAGGTTATCATTTAAAAATCCTTCACTAATTCATCCCAACACGTCTCTTTGCTCCTCGTAGGAACATAAACTGCAAAACTAAATAGTCACCATGTGATCATATGAGCTACTCTAACCTGCTTTTACTTCTGCATACCAGTTTTAGAATGGAAAAAGATCTTCAGAGGACGCATCAGGTACCAGGCATCTGGCATTTAGCCAAGAGCTTCCTTAAGCTGAGCTATTGCCTTCAATCCCGCCTGGCCAACTGGACCTGCTGGAAGTTGTGAGCTAGACCACAACTAGAAGGTTCCAGTTTCTCTCCATCTCCAGAGTGAACAGCCATGACTGACAGGAGGGGGATGAGCATGGAATGGCTGACCCTTGACTGGTGAGCTTTTCTCTGATGGAATTTTAGACTTTCCATGTGAATACACATCTGGATAGAAATGCAAGGTAGAGAAGGAACGCACGAGGTGTAATTAGACAATGATTAATTCCCTTGGGTCCTTTGGCTTCCTAGAGAACTGATTACTCATAGAGATGGGGACCCAAACCATAAAGCTGGGAACAGGTGAGTGTCACATTGGGACGTTGCTAAGCGACAGACCCGGCCAAGAACAGGAACCATTGAGGTTGGAGGAGGGAAGAAGAAAATATGTGGAATTGAGGAAGGAGTAGCAAAACCCGGCCTGCCCTCCTGCCACGTGGAGGCAAGGGTGCACCTGCTGCTGTGGAGTTACTGGCACCACAGCAGGAGACTCAGACACGTGTCACCTTGCCACCTCCTCCACCTCCTGAGTGAGGGACTCTTTGCAGAAGGGCGTTTGCTTAGGAGCTGGGGAAGGATAAAGTGTCTGGTTTGACAAGGATCTCCCTGACTGCCAAGTAATTTTGCAGAAATGAGGCCTTAGGCTCAGAGGGCTTTGCAAAGATTTCTAAATCTGGCTCCGTGAAAGAATCATCATTTGTATGACTGTCACACAAAGGGAACATATGGCCAGTCAAGAAAGAAGACTGTACCCACACCATGGGCCTGATCTATTTCCCTCCTGCTTGAGAAAGTGAGGAATGTGTGAAAGTAGAAGCCCTCTCCCCCTTCTCAGCGTGCACACACACCTGAATGTACACGCACACACACTCATACTTACACGCTCTGTGCAAGGAGGAGGAGGAGGACTTCTATTTGAAAGTGGTTGAATTCCAGAGTGAAATTTAAATTTGGCAAGATGCTGGCAACTCCCTTCCTCAAATTATGACCATAAATATCTCCAGACATTGCTAAATGTCCCCTGAGGAGCAAAATTCCCTCCACCCCCCAAGTTGAAAATTCTTGCTCTGGGGAAAGATCTCATCCTTGAGTGGCTGCATCTCTGTCCTTTTACCTGTTACTCAGACATCCTGTGCCACAAAGTGTAAATTAAAGGGAATACACCTACTGACAAGCCACGGAAAGAGCAGATGTTTGCTAGCAGAATCAGGGGAAAGCTAGCAGTGCGTGGCAAATCACTGGAATTACTTCTCTATGGGAGACCCTTGGCAGGCAACCTCAGCAAGTGTGGGCTTAGATGTGCTTAATTTTTATGCCAAATATCAACTGATTTCTTAATTGTACGCCCATGGCATTTTCTAACTCATACCCAAACTAAGCAGAAATGTAGCCTCTCCCTGCACACCACAAGATGAACTGCAGATAAAGCTGCAGGGGACCTAGATGCAGTGTGAAAATGAAGTCATTAAGTTTTCAGCCTGGGATCTGACTTAGGTGTTTGGAAAGCTCTTCTGTCTATTCTCGGACTCCTACAGGAACATATTGTGTCTCACTTCTCCAGGTTTTCCCAGAACTCTGCCCAGGCCTCTCTCTAATCAAGTTAGTGGATGTCCCTATCTTTATCGGCTGAGAGTCCATAGTGTTTACACCCACAATTAACTCATTTTCAGGCACAACTGGGTGTGCAGTTAGTATATTCAATGAATGACTGAATACCTCACAAGCTGAAATACATGCACATCTGTTATGGTTTAGATATAAGGTTACCCCCCAAAAGCTCATGTGGGGAGACAAGGAAGACCGCTCAGAAGTGAAATGACTGGGTTGTGAGTTTGGGTTATAATCTAATCATCTATAATATAAATTATTGGGTTATAACCTAATCGGTGTATTGATTTACTGATATAAATTACCTGGGTGGTAATTATAAAAAAGTGGGGTGTGACTGGAGGAAGTGGGTCAATGGGGGTGTGGCCTGGGGGTTTTTGTTTTGCCCTGTTGAGTGAAGCTCTCTGTTTCCTGGTTGTCAGGTCCTGAGCTGCTCTCCTCCGCCAAGCCCTCCCGCCATGATGTTCTGCCTCACCTCAGGCCAGAGCTGTGGAGTTGGCCAAACATGAACTGAATCTCTGAGACCGTGAGCCCAAATAAACTTTTCCTCCTCTATATTCTTCTTGTCCCTTCTTTTGTTCACAGTGACAAAAAAAAAAAAAAATCTGAGTCAAACAACATTCATGTTTCAATTGTGCTACACATAGCAGGGTCCCCCTTCTCTCTTCCATGTTAGGAAAGCAATATTCAAGGACACCATAAGGGAGGCTTTATTCAGGAGTGAGGGGAGGGACACTATTGAGATGGATACAGGGGACCCGCCACAATGGAATTTCCTGTGAAAGAGAAAGTCTGAGCTCTAAATCCAGCATGGGCCAGTGGGAATTCAGAGACAAAATCCTTGTGGAGGTTGGTGCATGGAAAAGGAACATCCAATTCAGGGGTGTCTCAGTCCTTTGCTTTAACTAAATACTCAAATTAGGTGATAAAAACAAACAAACAAATAAACAACAACAACAAAAAACAGGGACTTATTAGCTTACAGTTCTGGAGGCCAGGAAGTCCCAGAGTATGATGTCCGTCAGAGCTTGTGTGGCTTCAGTCCACAGCAGAATGCATAAGGGCCAGCTGGCTTCTGTGGAAGAGAGAAGCACAAGAGGCAGCCCTGCTTTCTGATGACCTATGCTTGCCATAGCTATACCCTTCCCTCCTGCAGGAGGTCCATGCATCCCTCTCTCAATGGCCTCCCTATCCTCCCACCTGCATTCAACAGTGTCACATTGGGTATCAAATTTCCACCTGAGTTTGGGTGAGGACAGATCCCATGCTAAACCAGCCTAACAGGACTGTTGCTGAAGGCAGGTTAGAGGGACAAGGCCTCACCTGGGGTTTGGTGGAGGGAGAGGAACCAGATGGGAAGTTACGGGGGAATAGACGTTGAGAGCGAGGAGTTCCTGATAACCTGACTTAGTAGGGTTCTGGCTAATCTGGATTTTATAAGGAAGAAGCAGGTGGGCTGAGCAAAGAACCAGGAGCCTGACTCAAGTTTGCTGGAGGCAAAAATCTGTCAGTGATCAGGAGAATCTGTTTCAACAGGGTGGAGAGAGCCCAGGGCTCTCTGCTGGCTGGTTGAGGGTTGGTGGACATTGTCATGGCCTGTGCTCCTCAGTGTGCATGGAGTGGGTCTGCCCACGCTCTGCCTCCAGATGATTCCTCTTTCCCTTCCTCCGAGCTGACACACACCGGCTGGGCCCAGCTGGGCTCTGAGGCTAGGCAATCACTGCTACGTCCTCTGCCACCTCAGCCCTGGCTCTGCCCCAACCCCGTGTGCTTTCTGCCAGGTCATTTCCAGTCTAGGAGCCAAATCACCATAACATCCGGATGATCCTATTATCTTGGGTTGGTTTAGTGGGGAGCTGGCACCAAATTCTGGTCCCTGAGCCATGAGGAAATCTGGGAGACAGTTCCTCACTGACTGAAAAAAAAAATGAGAGTAGATGTTCACTCCTGTCTTGCCAGTGGTCGGTGGTGCTGTCCCACCTGGTGATGTTCAGATTGATGCCGCTACCTTAGGACAAGAGGGGAGAGCAGCAGGACAAGGCACACATTGAGAGTGAGAGAGAGAGATGCTCAGTGCTTGATGACATAACAGGTCCACACCAGACCCTATGCTGCCCTCTCTTCTAGACTCTTGCTTGTGAAATTAAACTATATAAATCAGTTGAATTGGTTTTCATAACTTGCACAGAAAGATTTCTTCCTCTGCCGCAGTCCGGCTGCAGCAAACTAACCGGGGGGTGATGAGCAACTTGTGTACATTGATAGAGCAGGAGTGGGAGCCGTTTATTGTAGGACAACAGAGGTATTTATACATTCCACACAGCTTATCTTAATTAGCATAAACTAGATACAGCAGTCAACCAATCAGGAATCTCCACACTTAATGGCTCGCTGGCGTTTTGCCAGGCGCCATCCAGACTTGTTTACAGACTCTAACATTTGCCTGGAGGGTTCCAGCGGCTGTACAAGCTCCCTAGGGCCAGGTGGTCAGTGGGTGTGGACTTAGGGAAGGGCCAGGAAGTGGGCATCGTGCCCTGCTTTAGCTACTATCTTAAACAGCCAAGGATAAAGCATCCTGCTGTGCCTTTGAAAGGAAGGTCCCTTTTTTCTCCTCTGGTTTTACACTTAAGAAAATCCCATCAACACTTCTCCTTGCTATTCTTTATAGGCAAAAGGGCAGGTGGCTGGGGGCTGGGGTGGGTCAAGTGGAATTTCAATAAAGAAGAGTGAACTGACAACCTGTTGCTAAAGCCACAACTTGTCCTAAAGCTTGGAGGCCCCTGCACTTTGCCCTTGACCACCTCACTCACCTCGCCCCCTCCCTATACAGCATCACTTAAATCCCAGTCACAGCTAGTGTCTCTGGGGTTTCCTCCACCACATTGTCTCCTCCAGGCTCCAGGTTGACCTCATCTGGATGCCACCTCAAACTGAAAACATCCAAAAACAACCCAGGCATGATGGTGCACACCTGTCATCCCAGGGGCTCAGGAGGCTGAGGCAGGAGGACTGCAAGTTCAAAGCCAGCCTCAGCAACTGCAAGGAGCTAAGCAACTCAGTGAGACTCTGTCTCCAAATAAAATACAAAATCAGGCTGGGGATGGGGCTCAGTGGTCGAGTGCCCCTGAGGTCAATTCCAGGTACAAAACAAACAAACAAACAAACAAAAAAAACCTGAAAACAAACTCTGGTCTTTATTTCCAGGATCTCTTTTCCTTTAAGCATTTCTGGTTTAAGAAGCAGCAGTTCCAGCAACTCATCCATCTGGGCCACAGTGTTAGAGTCCTAGGTTCTGCTCTTTCTCTGGCATTTACATGAAACTCATCAGTAAAAAAGTCTCCTTCCCAAATCTTACCACATGTGACCCTAATTGAATGTCCATCTCCTCCAAAATTCATGTATTGAACACCTCGTTGCCAGTGCTGCAGGACTCAGGACTCCGGGGCGAGTTCTAAGGGGAGGTGCTTAGGGCAGGAAGGCTGCAATTTCAAGGACAGACCAACGCCACAGTGAAGGGGGGTTGGGAGTGGGCTCTCTCCTTCTGCTCTTCCACGTCAGGGACTGTCTTCCTCCCTCTACAGGATGCAGCGTCCAAGGTGCCATTTGGGGAGTGGAGAGCAACCCTCCCCAGGCCCCAGACTTGCCACCACCTTGAACTTGAACTTCAAGCCTTCAGAATCAAAAGAAGTGAATTTTTGTTCTTTATGAATTATCCAGTCTCAGATGCTCTGTCATAACCACATACACACACTAGGGGGCGGGGAGAGGGAGGAAGACACCCTCTTCTCTAACTCAAGCTGTTGTCATTGTCACCAACCTTGTGTCCCCACCTCTGCCCTTGCTTCCTGGTAGCTGCCCAGTTTAACTTTCTAACTCGCTACCCATAATAAACTTTCCCAGGGTATTTGTATGGCACTGAGAACAAAACACAAAATCCTTTTCTTTCCTGGGCTGTTCTGAGATGTACTCTGAATGTCACATGGCATTGACCCTAAGGAGCCTGGAGAAAATTGTCTGAGTAGGTGTGTGGGCTTCCTAGCTTGGCCATTGGCATATCAATCCCTGGTGGGCAAGGTCAGAGTCCTCTGGGAGATTGATACAGCCAGAGAGACAGTGAGGGAGTGATCCATGCTCTGGTCACCGAGGGGTTGACTAAGAATAGTCTTTCATCAGCTAACCTACTGATTCCATTAAGAATTAAGAACCTGTTATGGTCTTACAGTATGGCAGCGAGCTCTGCCCAACCACTTGTACATTATTTATGGGGGGAAAAAACCCAACTCTGCTAGTTGACTGCTTTGTGAGTAATGTAATACCCATTAAATCAGAGTTACTGGAAATGCTTTTTGTAGTCAAACTTTCCCAATCACTGAATATTTTCCATGGTATCTGTCCACGTGGCAATAAACTACTCCTCATCCAAGCTAGAAACGGGATGTGCCACTAAAATCTAATAAAGTTTTGGGAAAGTTTTCCAAATGTCTGAAAAGGCAATTCTGCTGTCTCTCTCTCTAAATGTAATTGAAATGCAGCGAGCGGGAGCCCACGGGGACTCTGCTGGTGTCCAGATGGACAGTTCTGCTTCTCCTGATGATGAGCTGTACTATTGAAAATTAATTGGTATTTTCAGCTGCGCCGGGTTGGCAGCCAGCTCACAAATAGAGCTGATGGTTTAGTATTCACAAAACATTCATCCTCAACCTCTAACTCCAAATTAATAATTTGTTTCAACTCATGCCTCAACGTTTAAACTTTTTAAAAAAATCACATGAAGGGTTAAAAGTTGACCAAATAGTAACGAAGCCATCTTTGAATAAATAAATTGCTGATATTTCTGACCTACGCAAAATGCTGTATTGGGGAAAATGCTGAGAACATAGGAAATTCCAGCTAAATATTAAGCTGAAATGCCTACAAATCCAAAATATTTTAAGTTTGTCTATCTTTGGAAAATTAATAGAGGAAAAATAAAACCAGACTTTTTAAAAACCAAATTGGACCATTCATGCTCATTATGTCATTATATAAAAGTTATACAGATTTTATGAATATTACTTAGTATCTATGCCAACTTTATATGCTATAATCCCTAAACAATCTGTTTAGATTTGCATATTTGCACATTTTAGCATCTTGTATAAATGGTAGCTTGGTGTATACATATTCTTGTGCAGCAATATTTCTTTTATCTAATATTATGTTTCAGGTTTTTATGGACATTGCTTCTTATAGCTGCAATTTGTTCTTTTTCATTACTGTATATTATTCTATTGCACACATATCCACACATATTTCTTCCACCCAACTGGTGATGTGCACTTCATCCTTTCCATTCATTGGATTAAAGCAAATAATGTTGCAGCAAACATCCATGTACATATCTCCTGACACTGCAAGTTTCCCCTGAGGATACAAATCTTTGAAAGATTTCTGTGGTAGGGTTTATACAACTTTTGCCTTGTAAAAGTTCTTGTATCCCTGGATACTCCTGTAGAATGTGCATCCAGGTTGCTCCACATCTTCCTTAAGACTTGATGCTGCCCAGATCTCCACTA